CTCTTGGAGGAAAACATCTCTGGTTTTGACTGTGGTCTCTCCAGGTAATCAATACAATTATTTCTAGAGAACAGCTATTTAACACACTTTCATTATCTGACAAAATTCTATTGCCCATGGTTAGTGATGGTATATTATATGTAAGAGTATAAAAATTAAATCATGCCATATTTAAGGGATTATGAAATAATTTAGTAACTGAAATGAGATGATAAAAGCTTAAATAATAAATTAAAAGATTGAATAATCAGAATTATGTTGTATACATTCAAAAAAATGCCAAAGATGAATTTATAAGAGGAGAAAGGCAAACACATGGGCAGAGTATCAAGGTAGTACAAAATTATTTATTTTTAGCACATTGTTTTATAGCATTTTACCAATATTCTGGAATATTTTATAAAGGAATATTATGAAATTTTGTAAATACAGATCTTTATATTGAGAAAATTTTTATCTGAGGCTAAGAATTATCAGTATATCCTTTGTTTTTAAAAGAAAAAAAATACTAAAAAGCTATCAGTTTATCAGTGATAATGTTTATTATAGCAGTGAATGAAATCAGCAATCAGGACAATCCACAATGGTCAACACCAAGAATATTAAAATTCATGTAATTAAAAATGAATATATGGATGTGGCTTAGGAGGTTTGATAACAGAAGCACTGAAGCTTCATATTGTTAATGCAGTTAATGACAGTCTTAATTACATTCACACAGATATAGAACTATAGAATCACAGAATAGTTAGGGTTGGAAAGGACCTTAAGATCATCTAGTTCCAACCCCCCTGCCATGGGCAGGGACAACTCACACTAAACCATGTCACCCAAGACTCTGTTCAACCTGGCCTTGAACACCCCCAGGGATGGAGCATTCACAACTTCCCTGGGCAACCCATTCCAGTGCCTCACCACCCTAACAGGAAAGAATTTCCTCCTTATAGCCAATCTAAACTTCCCCTGTTTAACTTTTAATCTGTTACCCCTTGTCCTATCACTACAGTCTCTAATGAAGAGTCCCTCCCCAGCATCCTTAGAGGTCCCCTTCAGATACTGGAAGGCTGCTATGAGGTCTCCACGCAGCCTTCTCTTCTCCAGGCTGAATAGCCCCAAATTTCTCAGCCTGTCTTCATACGGGAGGTGCTCCAGTCCCCGTGGCCCTCCTCAGGACCTATTCCAACAGTTTCATGTCCTTTTTATGTTGAGGATACCAGAACTGCACACAATACTCCAAATGAAGTCTCAGGAGAGCAGAGCAGAGGGGCAGGATCACCTCCTTCGACCTGCTGGTCATACCCCTTTTGATGCAGCCCAGGTTACAGTTGGATTTCTGGGCAGTGAGCGCACACTGCTAGCTCATTTTCATCTTCTCATCGACCCGAAGTTCTTCTCCGCAGGGCTGCTCTGAATCTCTTCTCTCCCAACCTGTAGCTGTGCCTGGGATTGCTGCAACCCAGGTGTAGGACCTTGCACTTGGCATGGTTAAACTTCTTGAGGTTAGCATCAGCCCACCTCACAAGCGTGTCAAGGTCCCCCTGGATGGCATTCCTTCCCTCCAGCGTATCAACCGAACCACACAGCTGGGTGTCATCAGAAAACCTGCTGAGGGCGCACTCAATCCCACTGTCCACATCACCAACAAAGGTGTTGAACAAGACTCGTCCCAACACCGAACCCTGAGGGACACCACTTGTTACTGGTCTCCAGCCAGACACTGAGCCATTGACCACAACTCTTTGCATGCAGCCATCCAACCAGTTCTTTATCCACCAAGTGGTCCGCCTATCAAATTGATGTCTCTCCAATTTAGAGACAAGGATGTCATGTGGGACTGTGTCGAACACTTTGCACAAGTCCAGGTAGACATCAACTGCTCTACCCCTGACCATCAGTTCCATAGCCCCATCATAGAAGGCCACCAAATTGGTCAGGCAGGATTTCCCCTTAGTGAAGCCATGCTGGCTGTCACCAAGCACCTTGTTGTTTTTCATGCGCCTTAGCATGCCTTCCAGGAGAATCTGCTCCAGGATTTTGCCAGGCACAGAGGTGAGACTGACTGGTCTGTAATTCCCTGGGTCATCCATTCCTTCTTGAAAATGGGGGTTATATTTCCCTTTTTTCCAGTCATTGGGAACTTCACCTGACTGCCATGATTTTTCAAACATGACGGACAGTGGCTTAGCAACTTCGTTCACCAGCTCCTTCAGGAGCCGCAGATGGATTTCATCAGGTCCCATGGACTTGTGCACTTTCAGGTTCTTAAGATGGTCTCAAACCAGATCCTCTCCTACAAGGGGCCCAAGGTCTTCATTCCCACAGTCCCTGCATCTGCCTTCCAAGACTTAGGTGGTGTGGTCAGAGCATTTGCCAGTGACGACTGAGGCAAAGAAGTCATGACGAACCTCAGCCTTCTCCAAATTCAGGGCAGCCAGCTCTCCTGACAGCTTCCTGAGGGGGCCCACGTCACCCCTAGTCTGTTTTTTATTTGCAATGTACCCATAGAATCTCTTACGTTTATCTTTAACATCTCTAGCCAAGTTTAATTCTAACTGGGCCTTAGCTTTCCTAACCTGGTCCCTAGCTTCCCAAACACCATCCGTGTATCCTTCCCAGGCCACCTGTCCTTGCCTCCACCTTTTACAAGCCTCTTTTTTTCCCTTTGTAGTTTCCTCAGCAGCTCCTTAGTCATCCAAGGAGGTCTCCTGGCCCTCCTGCTGCGCTTCCTTCTGGTTGGGATGCAACACTCCTCAGCTTGTAGTAGGTGATCCTTGAATATCAACTAACAGTCTTGGGGGCCCCTGCCCTCTAGGGATATATCCCATGGAACCTTACTAAAAAGGTTGCTGAAGAGGCCAAAGTCTGCTCTTTTGAGGTCCAGGGCAGTGAGCTTGCTGCACATTCTTTTCACTGTGCTGAGGTTCTCGAACTTGACCATCTCATGATCGCCGCAACCAAGGCTGCCCTGGAGCGTCACATTTCCAACCAGCCCTTCCCTGTTGGTGAGCACAAGGTCAAGCATGGCACCTCTCCTCTCCTTGTCGGCTCCTCTATTACTTGCAGAAGGAAATGGTCTTCCACACAATCGAGGAACCTCCTGAATTGCTTGTGCCGGCCCTTATCGTCCCTCCAACAGATATGAGGGTGGTTGAAGTCCCCCATGAGAACAAGGGCTTGTGAGCATGAGGCTATTCCTATCTGCCTATAGTGTGCTTCATCCACAGAGTCCTCTTGATTAGGCCGTCTGTAACAGATCCCCACAGTAATGTCTCCTATCGCTGTTCTCCCTTTAACCCTGACCCACAAACTCTCTGTTGACTGCTCACCTGTCCCCAGATGGAGTTCCATACTCTCCAATCTACTTCTAATATAAATAGCAACTCCCTCTCCCTGTCTGCCGGGCTTGTCTTTTCTGAAAAGCCTGTAACCTTCCATTCCAACACTCCAGTCACAGGAGCCATCCCACTGTGTTTCTACGATGCCTATTATATCATACCCCCATAGACATGCACAGATCTCTAATTTCTCCTGTTTGTTCCCCTTACTATGGGCGTTTGTATAGAGGCATCTGTCCAACTGAAGCCGGCTCATTGGCCGGAGCATCTGGAATATATCTACATTGCTTCGAGTATTTATTATAGGTGCTGGCAACTCTTTGGGCATGTTGGGATGGAATGATGCCCTCCTCCCCCAACACATCTAGTTTAAAGCTTTCTTGACCAGCCTGGCAAGCCTCCTACCAGAAGTGCTCACAAGCTCTACCAGCCTCCAATAGACCTGGCCTCCCAAAGAGTCCCATGTTTTAAATAACCAAACTATGGCACAACTGTTCTAATTATATATTAACCTGTCAAATCCACCTAGCCTTTTTAAGGTCCTCCTCTTTATCCTGGAGAATTGACAAAAAGACAACCTGAGCTCCAGAGCCCCTAACCACCCCTCCTAGGGCTCTGCAGTCCTCCTTAATGTTCTCCGGGCTACTGTGATCTGTATCACTAGCACATACATGGACCACAAGAAGTGGGTAACAGTCAGTGGGACTTACTAGAGCAGGCAGCCTCTCTGCAACATCGCTGATCTGAACCCCTGGTAGGAAACACACCTCCCTTGAGACTGGGTCAGGCTGACAGATGGGTGCCTCTGTGCCTTTCAAAGTAAGAGTCCCCTACTACTATGACCCACCACTTTTTCCTGGCAGCACCAGTAGTAGTCTTCTTTACTGGCGCATCACCCGGTTGTTCATGCTGTGAGTGTGTTTCCTCATTAGCAAAGGGGTTCTGGCTGAGGGCATCAGATTTAGGAGGAAGCCCTTTGCTTTTAATTGTCCTCTTCCTCTTTTTTTTTTTTTTGTTTTTCTTTGTTACTACTTCCCAGCTTCCTGGGTTAACTGCCTCCTTCTTTCCTCCGTGAGCTACAATGGATGCTTGAGGCCCCTGCATAAGTTTGGGCCCGGAGCAGGCTGTACTGCTTCCTCTCAGCTCCCCCGACATCTTTTAGCCTGTTGACAGCGTCCCGCAGCTCAGCCCCTGCTGCAGGAGGACCTCCACCAGGGAGCACCAGGGAGCGCAGCCCTCCCCATTGTAGTCTCTACACCCCGAGCTCTGCACTGCAGCCTTCCCTCACATCGGCTCTGTCTGGGTGCCTACGCTGGCCACCGCCGGGGCAGCCAGAGCAGAGCTCCCGGATCGGGCCCTGATCATACCACAAGTGCTCACCTGCCTGCTAACCTGCCTCGCCGCACTCCTGGTCGCTCGCTCCCTGGGGCAGGTTTTTAACCACTCAAGGCCCGTGCCGCTGCTTCAGGCTCCGCCCGCTGTGAGTCAGCTGCTCGCTCTCGTCAGCTGAGCTGCCGGCTCCTGGGCAGGTCCTGTCGAGGACTTGAGGCTCCCTCGTTGGCTCTTGCTGCTCTGAGTTGAGGCTCTTGGACGCTGAGCTTCCTCCTGCTCCGGTGTCTCTCGAGCTACTCACCTCAGCAATTCAAAAAACGTTTTTTTAACAGAACAGACTGAGCATATTTGCAATATCCTTTGACTTCTAAGTGAGAGAAAACCACAGTAGAGGAGGGCAGGGAAGGCTGGGCATGGAGAGTCAAACATAGTTTCTAGGATGCCATTCCGAGCTGGAATCCTCCAGCAAACCCTCCTGTTACGGTAACATGCTTCTTCAGAAATATGATCACCTCATCTACTCTGCTTTTCACTTCTGGAGACATTTTATTACCACTGCTGTGAAATTTCAGTTGCTGCTTGGCTTTATGTCCCATTCTACCAGCTTCCAGTCCACTTTGATGTATCCTGTGTGATTTGCAGTCTGAAGTAGGAAAAAGCCACCTCCCACCGCTGTTGCTGCCAGCTTTCCAACTTTCTGGAAGACAAATCCAGTACACCAATCTGTGACCCCTCTGATCAGCAGCTGCGTGGCCACGTTGTACTTGTCAGCGCTCGACCCTGAGCTGCGGGTGAAGACCTTGTGCCACCAAGGCTGGTTCTTGGTGTACTCCGCCAGGTCCAGGACACTGAAGGAGTCCTCCACACCTCTGCCCTGCGCCACCATTCCGCTGCCAATGGGCAGCAGCGGCCAAGTAACCCAATATTGTCAGTATTATGCTACTGTCATCTCCCTCTTGGAAAGAAAACTCAAATTTCATTGGTGTTTACATCACCAGAATGCCTTTGCCTTTCCTAGGAACTATCCTTAAGCTTCTGTTATATTTATAGAAGAGAAGTTGTAGCTGTGTGATACACAATGCAAAATTCTAGTGAAAACTCACAGTATATTGTGTTTAATCTGATAGCAAGCATTGTCAGTGCTCAGTTTAAAAGTGACCAGATATCCCTCTGTGATGAAGAGTGCTAGATTTTATCAAATGTCCTGCAGTTATTGAAAGGACTATCATTAGATTTGTCGTTTCTTAATATTCTTAAAAAAGATCAAAACCAATAACAAACAGGAGCAAGAATAACACTACCTTAAAACCAACCCATATTAGTTCTTAGTTCTCCTCTTCACGTTATCAATCTGATAAAGCATATTCTGTGCATGTTGGCATCAAAGGCATTGTAGAAGGAAAATTCAGTTAACAAAATAATGAACAAAGTGAGAAGGCATGCCGTAGAGATGAAAATAGGTGGACAGAAAAATAAATAGGTTGAAAACAAACTCACCCTCAAAAAAAAAACCCAAACCATAATCATAAAGGCTACAAAAGCCAAACATCAATTTCTAGTTCTGGTGAGAATTAGTTTGCAGTGCCTAACACAAGAAATATTGAACTGGTTTGCTTACATGCACGTGGCTACAACAGACAATTTCAACTTGCTTGACAGAATTCATTATTTCTCTGTCAAATGGCATATTTTGTGGTGAAAAAAAACCAAACTGGCTGCTACAAAAGTATTCCAAATTTGCAAGGTCAAGAACGAAAATGGTGAAAAATTTGCTGCACTTGGGAGTCATCATGCATTTAGAAGCTCCACTGTCATATACTAAAAGCTGTGGTAGCTCCTGGACCATACTGGTATATTAAGACAACAGAACAGACATCACACCACTGCTCTTTAAGTTAAATCATTCCATAAGAAGCTCGGGACTGCAGTGAAAGGCAGCAGTCATCTCACTGTGCTGTTCTCTTTATTCTCACAGCAGCCCTCCTAGATTAACTATCTCTCCCACTCTGTTTTTTCTGTAGACCAGTATGCAGCTTTTTATTATTTCTACTTGGCAATCTTCTTTAATCTTCCTACTCCTTCTGCTTTCTGCACTATGACCTATTTGTTTCTTTGTTTTCCCTGTGGAAGGAAAAAAAGTCAATCTGTATATTTTTTCTCAACATTAGTTACTGTGAGAAAAATTTTAATACATTATTAAAGGCAACAAAGATAGCAATTTTCTGAATTCCGAACAAAGCATTTGAATTAGCCAAATCATTATTTTATGAAATACAATGGTAAAGAAAACAGGTATGGTACCCTTTCAGTTGAAACACAGTTCTGTGCACCACTGAAAAGAGGTTCTTTAGAACCTGCAAATCACTGCCTTGTAGCAATTTCCTAAGAATAAAATAGTTTTCATCACTTAGTTTTATCTTTTAGCTTTTAACTGCCTTCTGATTCTCACTATTTGAGGATTTTTCCTCAGTTTATTCCCTTACTCCCCACATCCTTCCTAAAGGGACCTAACCTCTTTTCAGCCATATACTCTGGCAGCCAACTCAAAAAGGGCAACATGAAGTTTCGCATTACGCTCTGTCCAGTACAGCTGTCAATTTCCAATGAAAGAGTTGATCTTACGTTTTCCTGTGTCTCACATGCAGGTCATCTAACCAACCTAAAGTAAAAGAGCCCAATTATGTATTCACTCACCTACACATTTATTTACACACTCTAATCAGCTTTATACAGCCAGAAGATTTGATATGAGGACGAGGCTGGGAATAAATGTCATTAGGCTTAGGGAAGCGAAGAGGAGAACATAAGATACGGTCTTCTGGTATAGTCAGACTCATCAGATGTGGTCATAATATGAAACTACATCCTTGTCCTGTTTATGTCTGGGATGGTGTGAAATTTCTTCATAGGAGCCCATATAGTTCTGTGTATTGGATTTGTGCCTAAATCTCTATTAATAACGCACTGATGTTTTGGCAGTTTGTGAACTGTGCTTGCACATCATCAGGGCTTTCTCTTTTTCACACTTTGTTCCCACAGTAATAGGGGTGGGCAAGACACGGGGAGGGCACACAGCTGAGACAGTTGACCCAAACTGGCTAAAGGGATATTCCATGCCATATAATGCCAAAAAAACAGAGGTGAAAAAGGCAGGTTGGGTGGAAGTGGGCAGTGGGCAAAGAATGGCTGGGCATCTGTCTGCCTGTGGGAGATGGTGATTTCGTTGCTTCTTTTTCCTCTTTACCTTTTAAACTGCCTTTATCTTGAATCATGAGTTTTCTTGCGTTTTTTTTTTTTTTTTCCTGTTTTATTTTTTTTTACCCCTTATCCCCCTGGGTAGGGAGAGTGAGCAAATGGCTATGTGAGTGGCTTGGCTGCTGACCAAGGTTGGTACTCCGCCATCCTTAATGTACAGAATTATACTATGTGTATGTCCAATGGTGCAGAGGAAAGATAACCTGAATTTTCCAAAGAGAGATGACACCTTCCTTCCCAAGTCTTCCTGAGTTGGGAAATTGCAGAACGCTTCAGTGGAAGAGAAGAGAAGGGAGAGACCTAATTTTGTCCTCTACAAGAGTATAAGAAACCTCACAAAGAAATTGCTCCATACTATCTTTTCAGAACTGTGCAAAAAAATGCAGATTTGTGTAATAATCTTATGACTCTTAAGCCAAAATAAATAAATAAATAAACAAATTGTGGTCACTTTTCAGAGGACCAGAAGTATGACTGGTTCCACATTATGAGCAAGAGTTTCTTGGGTGCTGAATTACTCTTATCAGCAAACGGACTTGGATTCGCCTGTGATGTCCTAGTATCTCTATGGGCATTTGAAGCTGGCATTCCCACCTCAGAAACAGATCCATATGTTGAAGGTACTGGGTTACTAACTAGCATGGTGCCTGCTTTGCTGGCCTCTAAATAAACCAGCTTTAAAGTAAGGACATGCAGGGTAGTAGTGCCACAGCTTAAAAGAGGACTGAAGGAGGAAGGTGTTGAGAAGGTAAGTGCATTTGGACAAGCTCCAGGATTCCTCCTAGTGTCATGAATCCAATAATTTCTGTGAGAAGGCATTTCAAAGGCAACATTATTGCAATAATGGGGTGCCTGCTTAATGAAAGTGTGTTCTTGAGTGAGTACTGCCACTGTATTTTGCAGTTATGACAAAGTTGGCCTAAAAGAATCTAAACTAAGATCTGAACGGATTTTCCACAAATTAATTGTTGAACACAGGAGCTGACAATGAAAGTGGTGATGCCAGCTTTAAAACAAGCATTTATTGAGGAATAAAAAACAACAAAACACCCTACAGAAAAAAAACAACAAACCAAACCACACCCCCCCAAAAGAAAAACCAAAGCAAACAAACAAAAAAAACAAAAGAAAAACAAAACAACACAAAAAACCCTCAAACTAAAACAAAAAAAGTCCTTCAGGGTTTACAGTTCCTTTCTTTGTTTTTTGCACAATGCTCTGTCTAATTCACATTAAATTCAGCATGATCTCAATATCAACTTCTTGTCATGATGGAGTTCCAGTGTAGGGACAGAATATTTAGTACTTGTTCCTAGGAGGTTTTTACTTAATTTGCCTGTGGAAAGCCCTTCTACCCATCTCATACTTGAAAGTCCAGCCCAGAAGTTGTACTTCCATTTTGTATCATGCAGATGTTGATCAGGTTTGTTCTGGTAATCCATTATTTAGAGTTTTGAATTCTCCAAACTTGAGTTTGTAATTAAATGTAGCTTCAAAGCAATAGGTACAACTTGGAATAATTACTACAAATCAGACCTTATGTCCAAATTAATTCCTTTGCAGCCAGTGGAACTTTTACCTATGTAAATACTCTATTTGGTACAAAGTTATTCCTGTTCAGCTCAAAATAGATGGTTCTGTGCACATCCACTCCTGCTTCAGGCCACTTATTAGATAGCATCACCACATTTTGTACATTTGAACCTTTTAGTTTCTCAGCTACAAATACCAATTCATATAATCTTGCTTACATCCTGCAATGTTTCTGCCCCTGTCCCATCAAAAAGTATGTTATCACTGGATGAAGTTTTAACTCTGCAGCTCCTGGTATGAAAACAAAACCACTCTTCTTTACTATGCCTTCAGAGAACTCAGAAGAAAGAACAGACATAAAAGCACAACAGAGCTGGTTTTTTACACCATACAAAGTGAAATAGTCATTAAAATATTATATAACACATTTTAACATTCCTTGCAGATTGTAACAGGATATAACACCTGAACTGATGGTGCTAGACTGTTAATGCAGTGAGTTATCGAATCTAAGAGTGACTCTATGTTAATAAACAGTGATATGAACATAAATAACATGTCTAATATTTATGCAGATGGAAATTTCCTGAATTTTCTATTCTGAAGTTAAGAAGTAGGTAATTATGTAAGTATTTGAAAAAGATTCTAAACGTATGTATAATCACTGGTACTGCATAGAGATTTCTTTGCAAAAAGATGCTTTTTTTTTTTCTCTATCAGATATCTGATTTTGAAGAAAACTAGCCATTCAAAATACAGCTTTCTAAACTTATGTGCTGTCCCCTTAATTTTATAACTGAAAATGGTTTAAGACCCTAATTCAGGAATTTATCTGCTTTAAAGCAGTTTACTCAGTCTAAGTGCCTGTGCACTTCATTTTGGTGTCACTTACTTGCTGTATCTCTGGCTATATGAATAAGAAACGAGATATTTCTTTCTTCAAACACCTAAAACAAGTGTAGGATCTCAGTGTGATTCTTGGCTTGCAGTATAGTTTTGAATAATGTCACCTGCCCAGAACAACCATCTATCAAAGTAGTTGTGAAGAAGCTTGCTTTTAGCTATTCATTGTAGGTCATTCTCTGTTCTGAAAAATATATCTGCTTGTTCAATATATAATATATGAGGCATGTTGAGAATGATTAACTGGAA